CGGCATTGTCATTCGCTGAGCTGCCTCCGTAAGTTGCGGTGATTGGCTCTCCGAGTGTTGCGCGTGAAAGTAGACGCACAAACATTTTTTAGAGTGTGGATACTTTGTTCCCGTTTACCCCTTCTTTTCCTATGCCTCTTCCTTCTGCAGTGTTTGGCCACCGCGAGGATCGCGGCCTTTAACAGCATGAGTCATTTGTGACATCAAGAGGCGAAAATTCAGTGACCAATAAAAGTCAAGACGCTGTAAACAGACCAGACGGAGTTGCGTTTCAGGCACCATTGGGTATTACATTGCTGATGGGTCACGAAACCGCACGCTTATCTCATTCACGACTGGTCTTTTGCTTCCCGAAGACAGCACATGCGATTGTAGGCTTCTGAAGCCTGTAGCCCGATTCCCAGTGTGCGATTTAGTTGCGATTTCGCGATTTCGACATCACTCGTGTTGCATAAAAAACGTGGTGGAAGCTGCGGGGCTCAACGTAGCAGTTGCGAAATCGCAAGCGAAATCGCACGATGTGAGTCGTGCTTCATTCACATAATTCGATTTTGCTTGCGATTTTGCAGCTGCAAAATTAAGCACCACCGATTTCTTTTTCCATCCAGCGACGTTGCAATTGCGAAATCACAAGTAAAATCGCACAGTATAAATTAGGCATTTCCGCGTGCGTCCTTACAAACGTGGGACACCAGCCAGGGCAAGGACACCACAGGACAGCATGCATGCCGTAACGTTTGAGAGCCCAGGCATCTGGAAAAGCTCAGTGTCATGCAGAACAATACCGGATGTCAGGATGGATACAATTTCTGAGCTTCATGATTCGTAATATTTGCTCATGATTTACAAAATTCCCTCGACGGTCGCGCGCTATGAGGACGCGCACGGACGCGTTCAAAGAGCGACGTCGTCCTAACCGAACCACGAAGGTAACGTACGAGTACGACTACTTCGATCGAACGTTTTGAGGCGTCTTGAGCGGCAACTTTATCGAGAAGAATCGGAATATGGGGCTCTTGTGAAACCGTCAATAACTCTCTTTTTCTTTCTTTCTTTCTTTCTCTCTCTCTCTCTCTCTCTCTCGCTGTATCGCTTTGCGGAGAAGGGGCATGGCAGGGGGTCCTCCGACGGCAGTGTGCTTCCCAATCGAAGCGCCAGCAACCTGTTGCGACCGGGCCTCGGGAAAAACCGTCTTTATCGGGCGCTCGACAGAGGGGGCTTCTTATCGGCCCCGGTGCACCTCCTAGGGTAATGAGGCGATCAATGCGGAAACCCCGATAGGGCCCTCCACCGGCCGGGGCTCGAAGGGTGGGACCACTTGCCGAAACACATTACCGCGTGGGGACCAGCGCCCGGGAGCCGCGTTTCATCCATGGATCATTCCGCGAGGCGTCCCATATAGAAGCCACATATAGTATAACGGACAGTCCATATCGTCCTGCTTTTCTTTTCAACGAGAAACTAAATGAACGATACCGTGCATTAAATTCGGTACTAAAAACAGTGATTTTTTTCTTTTGCAAGTGACTTGTATTACAATTTTGAGAAGTATATTTTGAAGTTCTAGGTTTATTTCGCTCATTTAAAAAAGAAACATATTTAAAAGCACTGTTTTTTTTTAAGACAACTACAGTGATTAAATTAATATGCACCTTTTTCACAAGGGCGCAGCCATCTTGAATATCGTCATTTCTGGTATGCGGTAAAACACCGTTCTGATCTCTCCACGCCGCTGGAAGGTGTTTACGAAAGATGCGCTATTGTCACACATTCTTGTTTTGTTTCACCTATATTTTCTCGTATATTCCAGGTTGCAATGTTATTGTTTTTTCGTCCCGCATACCAGATACGGAACCCACGTGACTGAGGACGACAAGAAGAAAAAAACGTGTATATACAGAATGCCACAAAAATATTTACAGTTTTCTCTTTTACCGCAAAAATAACCTAATCATCATTGAACGGTCATTCTCCGCCCAAAGGTAGCGCTAGAGGTCACAACCAGATGCCAAAGTTTATGCCGGAACAGACACCTTATTCAAAAGTTATAAGTGATTTTCTGAAAATTTCAATGGCAAAAAGGGAGCCACTTTTTGCCCGTTTTCGGTTTCTGAGGCCATAGAGCCCTATGTTTTCGAAAACTCCGTCGGCCGCCATTTTCCCATTGAAATTTTCAGAAAACCACTCATAACTTTTGAATAAGGTATCGGATCTGGCTGAAACTTTGGCATTTGGTTGTGACCTCTAGCGCTACCTTTGGGCGGAGAATGAGCGTGTGGCGATGCCTAGTTTATTTTTGCGGTGAAAAAAACCCTGTAATTTTTTTTTTTGTTGTGACACCCTGTATATATCCTAGAGAAACAAGATCTTCATAACTTGTCGAGTACCAAACATAGGGATTCTGGGCTCAATTTCACCACTTTTGATCAGGATACGGATCGTACCGGACTGCAGTTATGCGTGATGCACGTTAAAGAACCCAGGGCTAGTTGTGGTACTGCACTGGTTAAATCTTTTATCTATGGAGACTGCGGTCGCTCACTGGGGTCAACGTCCCGCTGTCTATATAAACGCTACACACAATTGCTGTTTGCTCGTCGAGCGATTCTACAACAGTCACTCGACCATGATGACACAGTCGAGGAATTGTTATTGAACTTTCTGCAGAGACCGGGAACCCCGACGCGTTTCGACGAAAGGGCATCAGGCATGATATTCTAGATGTCGTTCCGTTTGGTGCGAGCTACTATGCATATAGTATTGTAGTCCAAAGAGCACAACAGTCATGTGAAGCTATATCCTCGTCACCCAGCTTTATAATTGAACTACCGATTTCTTGAAGCCAAAAATACAAAACCCAAAAACTCTCCTTAACAAGGAGACGACAAATCTCGTCAATATGAATATCCTTTTATATACACAAACGTTTCGGCGAATAATTGGGCGAATGCGTGCATTTATCGTTATCGTGGACAACTCACAATATGGACCAATATTTTAGGACATTACTGTATCGGGCATCGCTAGAGAGATTTCACCGGGTCCGGACCAAGCGGACCCACCAAGACAGATAGAGCCTGACTCGTTCGGTGGTTGTCGCGGGACTAATTTCATGAGGAATACGTCGCGCGAAGCCCGCACAGCTGGGGGAGCGAGCCCATGGCGCTCATGCGCTCACTAAGCACACAACTTGAATAGCGCGCCACGTCACGAGGTGTACGTATTATGAGTTTTATCAGTTGAGCCTATTAGAGGCGAGATGTTTTGGTGGCGCCCTCCTATGGTTCCCTCTCGTGACGTCATTACCTTGCGGGCAAGAAGTTCGATGGTGTTTGAAATTAGCATGGTGGAAGCTTGAAATCATTACGCCCTCAAAGCAACACTGCCAACACCGCTAAAATTAAAGTTCTAACATTCCTCTTATTTCCGTCGATGAGAAATCCTTTGCTGACGTCAGAGTCAGCCTTCGGCCAATCGTGGCACGCCAATCACATGGACGATTTTAATCACGCACGTCGACGATTGCAAGCTGGGCGACTGGCCACCGCCATGTCTTTGCCCGAGCAGGCACACCCGTGCGGTTACAAGCTTGCCAAAGCTACATTCACGCACATGTGGCACGTGCTAGCACGCATGGGGCACCAGTTGTGGCGCCATGCTCGCAAAAGACCGATCTCACCAGCTAGTCTGAGTACGCCACTGCTGTCGCTATGCATCGTAGGATCTGTAGTCTTTCTGCACGTGCGACGAAACCCGCTGGAGGTCTGCGCGAGCGGGGTACGAGACGGCACGAGCTGTCTCGTGAATGGGCGCCTATCTCTTGTGAACTACCGTTATGGCTGCGTCAAACATGCATGAAACGCTTAGTGAGATGGGTTTATAGGGAGTATTCACTGGCGGCCATATCCGTGTGCGCTGCTGCTGAGCGCGTGCTGACGGCGAGCTTCCGCAGTCCTTTTGGAGCGTGCATTTAGCACCATCATGGTTGCCGGTCTTAGCAGGCTATTAATGTGAGCTCGTTCTGAGCATGCGCTCTAAACATCGCCCTCAAATATGGCGTCCAGTGAAGACCATTTGCTATATTACCCAAGCATCAAGAAGAATGCAGGGATTGGTGTTCCACGCGCCACACGCGCACGTCTTCCCCGCATAAAAGATTCAAAGTAAATAACCAAAATAAAGAGTTGACGAGAGCACGTGCAAGATGCCATTTGTTTTAAGTATTTGCTTTAGAAAAGTTACTACTGCTGAGGCCAGCACGTACGGCGCGTGGAACACCAATCCCTGAATTCTCCTTGATGCTTGGGTAATATAGCAATAGGTATATTGTTTATAGACCTTTCCAAAAAAGGGCGTGTGGCCGGTGCCATCTTGAGTGTTTGTGTGTAGGGCCTGTGGTTTCCTCGCATTCCCAAGCGACGAACTGGTACGAGCTGGGGCTGTGAAGATCGTACGCTGGACTGTGATTTTGTAAGCATTGGAAAGGTCTAGAGCCACCTTGGTGGCGCCGAGGCAAAGCGCCGGCGTATAAATCCTCAGTTTGTAGGCTCGAAACTCCGTTGAAGTGCCTGCAAGTCGACGGAGGCTCATTGCGAAGAAGGCGCAACGTAAAGCGAGATTTCAGGTGCACGTAAAAAAGATCCCCAGATGGACGAAATTACTCCTCTGTCTTCCGCAGGGGTCGTGCCCAACGCCCTTCGTCAATTTGACAGCCAAAAGACTCCTCAATTTGATTTGATTTCAGTGGAGCCGATGAGAACGGCTAGCAGTATTGCCTCCTAAAGGGAACGCAAACTCAGTAATAATAAAAAAAACAAAAACGAATCGTGTTTTTTACGATGATCGTATGGCTGCTGGAGCTACATGGTCTCTTCGCGTTGGTGCTACTGACTGTATACAAGACAAAGAATTGGCCTTTTGAATGCATCGCGATGCAGAGTATACACTCGGAGACTTCTCGGTGTGTAAGGGCCTCAAAGTTTCCCTGCTTCCCGCGGCAGGAGGCAAGTGCTGCAGATCCACCTGTCCGGTGGCATCGACCAGATCGGCGGCGTCCGATGGCCCCTGGCGCTCTGCCTCTTCGCCGTCTTTGTGCTCGTCTACTTCTCGCTCTGGAAGGGAGTGCGCAGCACGGGAAAGGTAAGCACAATGCAAATATGGCCTTCCATGGAGCTACACAAGCACACGCGAGTGCAGTAGCGGACGATAGGTCTGCTTCTGCGTTCACTCTGCCCGTCACCCATGAAATTAAAGGAAAAGGGAAAAAAAAAACGCATATACGTTTCAAAACTTTGGTCACCTCGTAAGAATTTGGTGTGTCAAAACGCAACAGACAGTAGAAGAGAGACTTTTAAACCGCACAAGCTCATGCATCGTCGTACAAGAAGACACAGTGTTCCCTGCACACGCGATGAGAGGAGTTATCGGCGGACACTCCTCGAGAATCTTCGAAGCATGCTTGATTTATGCATATGCACGCTTCGAGCATGCATCTGCAAACAGTTTTTTTTTATGAACATTAGAGAGTTTTCGGGAACCGCTTTTGCACATCCGATAGGGTACTATGGGCCCTGCGGTACGCACTGCGCATGTGCGAGTCTTATGCTGTAGCGCATGCGCAGTGCGTACCGGAGGGCCAATCGTACCGTATCGGAAGTACAAAAACGGTTTCCTAAAACTCTCTAGTGTGACGTGAGCGTCCATACGAGGAAGAAACACCCCTCAGACGTTGCGTTCAGACTGACTTTTTATATGGTGTATTTGCAGTGTGACCACGGCATTGCACACCGAACGCTCTGGTCGTTTTAAATACGCGCCAAATCGAGCCGCCATTGCCGAACTTCCCTCGTCTCACCGAGATGCCGAGCCACCGAAGCGGCTGTTGACGAGCCTCCACAAAGGCTTATGCTGAGGAGAAGGACAGAGTAGCACCTAAAAAGGCCACAACCTATCGTGCTGTGGCAGTGATGAAGTGAAGCGAACGGAATAAGAGGAAACAAAGACTGAAGGTCGGTTGTGGCGGCGCCCATGCACAGCTGCGTCTAAATACTTAGAAGTGAAAGTGTAATACTGGAAGCAACACGTACACCGCAAATCACAAGAAATGCCACAGTGTCGACCCTATAAGCACACGCTTCGAGCGATATCAAACGTGCTGACTCGGGCCGATAGGCATCAAAAGGAGCGCTAACCCCGTCTACCTTTCTAGCGCTGCATTATAAAAAAGATAAAAAAAGACGTTTACAATTCCTTGTAATGCCGAATTAGAGCGCAGCTCTTGAGGAGAAAGAGGGGATGGTATGTAGGGAACGGTATGCTTCTCTTCCTCCCTCCTCATCTACTCCTCCTCCCTCCTCCTCCCTCTTCCTCCCCCCACTGTCTCCTTCTCCTCCATCATCCTCCTCACTCCTCCCCCTCCCCCTCTTCCCTCCCGCGCGGTGCAATATGAAAAACGTCCCATAACGCACCGCGCGCGTCACCGCGGTGAGTTATGGAACGTTTCCCATAATGCACCACGCGGTTACGCCGACGGCGACGCCGACGCGTTACGCTGACACGTTACGACTACGTCAACAGCGACGCGTCACGCCGACGCGTTACGGTTACGCCGACGGTGACGCCGACGCCGACGCCGGTCAAGCCGGAAATGGGCGCCTAAGAGCTGCGCTCTAAAAAAGACTTCGCGATGTCTTTTTCAATAGAGCGATCTCACCAGCCAGTTTAATTCCGCCACCGCTGCCGCAATGCATCGAGGGAACTGCTTCTGATTCCTTCTCTGACAAGACCCTTGCAGCGATTCACCTTTCCGCGGAACGTACCTAGTGAGAAACAGAAAAAAGTACCGGTAACTTTTTTTTTCTTTTTTGTTACACTTTATGATTATATGATTTACTTTATACACAGGGAAAAACCACCTGTCTAGCCCCTGGCCTGGCCTCTTTCTAATTTTTTTAAGAAGGCTTCCCCCCTTCCCTCCCCCCCCCCCCTCTCCCTCCCCCCCCCCCCTCCCCCTCCCCTTCCCCACGGGAAGAACGTGCGGATAACCCGCCCTTTGCTCCAGTTTGCTCACCTAGATCTGAGGACCTATTTAATGTCTTATCTGAACAAAACTTCATCTTTCGCTACAATTTCATTATTCGAATATATGCATGATTAATGCCCTCATTTCTAGTTCTTATAACAGAATATCAATTAAATGAATCAAAGCAGACTCAAATGTTTGCCCATGTCAGGAAAATACCTCTAAAGTATAATCGACTCAAAATATGTAGGTCACTTTAGTTAAATAGAAGTTCAAAAATAAAAATAAAAAAAAAGCTTTGTAACTGTTACTCTTACTTAAACTACTGCTAGTGTATCCTGCTCATATTCTGGGATCGACTTTCACCCGTTGAGCTCCAGACACTTCTCCAAATTGCGTTTCCCGATACACATTCACCTTAGCATAGGATTAACTGCCACCGCCTGGATATCTGGCTGAAGAGGAATGCCAAGTAAAATTTAAAATCTGCCAGCAAACCTTTGCTGAGCAATTGCGTCGTACGGCTCGACGTCGCAGAATTCTATAAAATTTTTACTTTTCCAGGCATTAACTAGGCACATTTCTTTTTTTTTAGAAATGTGACTATTTCCTAATTCATTTACATTTTAGTTCAAGTAGCTGTAACTTACAACGGTTATATCTTAGAAGTGTCTGTCACTGCTTCAATAATCACGACCAACAACTCGATTCCCGCGTTACAATAAGAAAAAGAAAACAGGTGCCCATCGACTCTCGCAGATATACACTATAAAAATCGCGACGCGGAGGGATCGTCGTTATCCCCCAGTTTTCCAATTTTCCTCCTACCTCGGATGACTTTGATCATTAAAATCCGCCTTTATAGTTTTTAGGAACCCGCGTATAAACGCCGGGCCGAAATAATTCGGAGAACGTGGGCGATCGAGTAACGAGAAGCGCTCATACCCTTCGACCTCGTCCGAGCCCCGAAGCCACGAAACCGGAGGTGTCCCCCTCCCTCCCCGACTTCTCAAGCAGAAGGAAACGTGGCAGCAAGTCGGGGAGACGAGGCGTCAGGAGCCCGCTCATTACGAGACCCGTAGCTAGGACCCCGTGCCGCCACTCGGAATGCCACGGGCTAGCGAGCCATGGTAGCGCAAATTGCTGGCATCTGGGCGGGGATCAAGAGGAGTCCCCATGTGTGCCCCTTGGCAGACGTATCTGCCGTCCCTTCACTTCCCCCTTCTTCTTTGTTTTTATTTTATTTCTGTACTCGTCACGGTCGGCGGGCACACCGGATGACCGTTCAGCGTATATTACCGTTTTACGATTGAAAACCGATATTTAAAACAGTTATAGCGAGTTCGTTTCACGGCACTATGGCCCACGCGCGCCCACTCGCAGCGTGGAACGGGTTCGTCTCGGCCGGCACTCCACGAGTGGTTGCACTCTCCGAGTTCGTTTCAGCGCTGACACCCCACGCGTGCATGCACTGGCTGCTCCGAGAAAATCGGGAGTGCGCCAAAATGCAATCCCGTCATGCCTCGCTCCAGCGGGGCCGGCGAGGAGCGGGAGCAGACGACGAGGGTTCGTCTGCTACGATCTGTCGCGGAACCGAACGGGAAAAAAAGTAGATTTTCTCATAGATATCGCCTCCCGCGGGCCACAAAATCAAACGCGAACTGGAATTGTGAGCGTCTGCTATTTCCCGAAGGAAGCAATTGACAACCCGTGATTTCTTTGCAGGTTTTAAATCGCTCTGTTGCCGTACAAACGCTGAAATATACCAGTGTGTAAAGGAATGCTCAGAACAAACTTAACAGCGGCCCCTCAGATATCTATCACCATCCGTGTGCGGGTGAAAAATTTAACATTTGTTGACAAAACTCCCCCAGCAGAAACCTCCGACTGCCCAATAAGCATCAGAGAAAGCTAAAGATGGTAACTTTACCCGAGGATTGGGCAACATCATCATGCTTAACATTTACCTACGTCAGCTAACTTGCCCCGTCGTAATTTGTTCGAGAATGCTCTCGTTCTCGACGCCCTCACGAAGGCTAATATCTAATCCACATATAATGACGATCCAAATCGGAAGTCCCAGTTTTGCTGGATATTCCAACAGGCTAGTTTTAAGCCGCACCCTTTTAGTGGTTCACGCATAATACCATGTTCAAACGGATCATGCTTGTGCTCGGACAGCATTATCAGTTTTCTTCAGTGGAAACGGTTATAAGAATTGAAAGATCGCAACCAGCTGCTTTGTAGACAGCTGGTTGCGGAAATTTACGCCGTCTGTAACTATTTCTACGGCAGCCGAGCTGCTTGTAGTCATCGCAACTATAAACTACAGGTTGCAGCGACCAAAGTTTCTAGATAAACGTTGGTAGCCGACTGCATTCTCGCATTCCCACGGATCACTCCGATCAGAAAGGCGCTAGTTTCGGTTTGAAGTCGGTACCTTTTCTACAACATAGATGGCGGCAGCATCAGTCTTCTGCACTGGGTGCATTTGGCGAGTTCGTTTGAGTCCAGTTTTCCGTGCAACACTCTGAGAGTGCGATGCATTCTAGGAGAGAACTCGAACGGTGCCAGTGCGTGTGAAACGAACTCGCTATTAGTAACTCAAACCATAAAGAGCGTCTCCTTTTTGCGCATATGTTCCGATGATATCAGAAAGCCGAGCTCTTGTTGGCTGATTAGAAAAAAAAAAATAGGGGGTAGGCCTCGAGGCATCTACCTTCCAGGTATGGGTGGTTCCCGTTTCGACTCATTCCCAATTCAACCGTCCCGTTTGTACTTTCCCGTTTCGACCCGGCTCGAAACGACCTTCTCGTTTCATCTTTTCCCATTTCGCCCTATCCCGAAACAACCTTCCCACCTCGGCCATCGTTCGTTTTCAATTGGGTCGGTTCGTTTCTATTGTTCGTTAACAATTGATTAGGTTCAAATGCCCAATGTCTGTTCTCCTTGCTTACCTCACTTCTCCCTTTTCCGAAACAACCTTGGAGACATGGCACCGTAAGATAAACGCTGTGTCAGGGAGGACTCGCCCGAACATTTACAGATTTATCGATCTGATCAAACGGGTATGAGGCCATGGCAAGGATATCTCTGCAGCAGCTTGCAAATGGTGGTG